AAGACACTCTTTTACGTTCCCAATAGTTTTATCTTTTAGTTATTCTAAATTAAAAATAAGCTAAATAGGATAACAAGCTTCTGACAAAGCTATGAAGTTGAACAGCTTATGAAAAATTTCGTCAGTTCGACACATGTTTTTGTTTACCCCGAGTCTCGGCCATCAGCAAGAAATTAAGACTGATGAATTCGAAAAAAAAACTCAAATGTCGGTCTGCACAATCTTGAAATTTTTTTCTCGTCTCCTTAATGGCTGAAAATTTAACGGAAAATTCAATTGCCCACAACCATGGTTAGCGTAGACTCGAAATGTTAAGGAAGGACCCCTACTCTGCGGGAGAGGTTTTGTTTAAATCGCATTCGGATTTCAATCAAGAGTTCATGGCTCAAGTCAGAGAAAATTGTATTTCCATGGCCGTATGTATGTCTGTATTTCAGGTATTGAAAACTCGTCTTGCGTTGAGTAAAACGGGTCAATACCGAGGCATGTTCGACGCAGCTCTGAAAATCCGCCAAAAGGAAGGCTATCGGAGCTTTTATCGTGGGTTTGCTCCCAACCTGATCGGCATAATTCCTTATGCTGGGATAGAACTCGGAATCTATGAGGTTACTCTCCTTTTATCTTCTGTTCCGGTTTTTTTCCTAATGTTTTGTATTTTCATTGTTTCAGACGCTGAAAACTCGAATCTCTCAAACCAAGGAACCAGGAATATTAGTTACCTTGTCTTGTGCAACTGTTGGCAGTATAATGGGCCAGCTTTGCGCGTACCCCCTTGCGTTGGTTAGAACAAAACTGCAAGCTCAAGGTAATCTCACATAACCGTGAAATTATGTACTGTCCTGACTTTTTAAAAATCTACTGAAATGCGAATATACTTGGACATCTCTCTGCCACAAAATTCAAGAGGCCAGGAGAAACTCGTTGTAGAGACACCCTATAACATGAGGAGAGAACCCATGGGACAACAAATTCATTATATGGAGAAAATTGTGAGAGATATTCCTCCCTAACTCAGCACCTTCCCTCTCTGAACCTTCATAAATCAAATTTTGAGAGGTGTTATTATTCTGGGGACCCATGAAGAAGAGGAGCAACCAAAATGTAATTCAATGTTGTTTTTTTTTGCAAGGAAGTGAGTGACTAATTGGGGAAAATGTACACAGCCACCAAGTTTGGCACCCCATTTACGTAGTTGAGAACCCAGATCACTAATGTCACCTTTCTGTAATTCTTCAGCAGAACTGCAGAGTTCCCTACGTCAAATTTATTTTGGCCCCTCAAAGTTTGACTGGAAGAGATATGACTGTACAGTACCATGAAAACTGGACAACGGACTTGAAACTTCGACATTGAATTCAATTTTTTTATGAGTTGTAAATTCCGAATTTTACACAAAACATCATGGGTGTCATGGCAATTTCAGAAAAATACTACCTCTGATAAAACTGCCAAGCTAGCGAGAAAATATTTTTCCATCTCAAGAGTTTTCAATTTTCGGATAGATAATTTTAAGAGGGCCCAGCAACTATGTTGCCAGTCTTGTGACTGATTTAAATATGCACTTGGGAGGTCACAGTAATGCATAGTAGTGAAAAATTACTATTCAGCAGCAAGGTATCTTATTCAAACATATTTTTCGAGTTCGTTTTTTTCAAGTGACAGTGGCAATCACGATGTGATTCTTTCAAGTAAAAAATTACCTGTATGTAGCAATCGAAATTTTTTTAAATTTAGCTTCAATTTGGACTCGGTTCTGCAAGTAAAGTTCCTCTGAAGTCGAGGTTTGTGTGGGTTACGTGGTGTACCTATAGAATTCAAATCTGCTTTTACCAGAAGGGGTTCACGCTAATATTTCAATGGCTTTTTTTGCAGCCATTCGTTCTGACGCGGCTGAGCACCGACCGTCTGGTATGATCCACGTTTTTCAAACCATTCTGCGCACTGAAGGCTGGACCGGACTGTATCGCGGATTGGCGCCAAATTTCCTGAAAGTTCTTCCTGCGGTTGCCATCAGTTACGTTGTCTACGAGGAAAGCCGCGTTGCCTTGGGCTTAACGACGGCTTGAAAAAGGAGGTGATTTTACAATCGTTGGACTGTCACGCATTTGTGGAATATTTCGCTTTGTAAAATATGGAGCTGAATCATTGTTCATGTTGGTGCTGCATAATTTTCAAGTTTCGTGATCAATTGTGTACATGCTTTATAACTTGCTGTGAGAGCTAGTATTCGGCGACTTTTGTGTGATGTTTTGCTGCTGCCTTCCGCCCAAAACTTATGCTTGTCAATTAAAAACGCGTTCGTCCTTGAGAAATCAACATGACGGGTGTGAAATCATTTATCCGAAAAATTACTATGTATTTTAGTTCAGGTCTTTTGTAGTATGTTGGAATTTGTCCTACTGTATAAATGGCGACCTGAATTTCCTTCCTCGCCGGGTATCTTTCTGGGCTGCTTCGTCTGAATATTCATGTTATAATCAATAAAAGAGACGTGTGTAAAAAAAAAGTTAATTTACATACTTCAGATGTGGCAATAAAAAAATTACGCAGTGCAGCACATCATGCATAGTTCAAGCACTACTGTGAAAGTGTACTGTATCTTCATTTGCACTTCTGCAAGAATTCGAAAAGACCTCAGTTTTTCTACTGTACTTTAATCCGGCTTCTTTGTAATTTGAAGTGAATAAAATAAACAGTAAAACCATTGTTCACGATGAGCTACGGTTAATTCTGCGAAGCATGCTAGTTATAAATAATGTTGATCAAATGGAAACGTCAAAAGCGGACTTGGGGTTGTCATTTCTGTAACAGTTTCACACGGGCAATTTCGCCAGGGAAAATACCAAAGCAGGAAATCTTCAGAACATCCAATGGTGTATTGTACTGCAGAGATCACAAGTTCACAGGTGCAAATAATCTCAGAACAGCTCACAGAAGTCACGAATGGACGGAATGAAGTGATTTCTGGCACCATAACAACGACTAGAAAACTTAATTCCCGCGGTCAGTTCAGCATAGAATTTGTCTTATCTTTTCTTATTTAAAAAAGGATACAAAATTACTTCCCGGCTGAACTTTTCCTCGCAGAGATCCTTTGTTCTCACATTTCAGATTTCACACACACACACAAACACAAACCTCATGACTCGATATTCCGGACTGACGTGACCCTGTCCAACCAGGCTTGGTGTTCTGCAATCCGTCTACAAAGACTGTTGTTGGTTCCTCTGGTCACAGGACCAGTGGTACCGAAGCTGACCGATGGCATTAGCTGATGGCGTAGAGGGAGAGGCGAACTCATCAGGGCTTGAAGATCATCACCCGGCGATCGAAGCGCGAATTCGCGAGACAGCTTGTCCACCCTGGCGACTAGTTTTCCCGTTTTTTGAGATAGCTTCACACCTTCGTACCAAACGAAGGGATCGCTGGAACCTGGGGATTAGCCATGAAGAGTACGTCGTTGAAATCGTACACTGCACATACAAGGCTGATGCATCTCATGGCAGATTTTCTGCACAGCTTCGAACAACGGTTGCTTTAGCGAGCGAGCTTGACATTAAAGGAGGCTCACAGCATCATTAAAACAACTTTAAATGTTTTTGGATAATAAAAAAGTGGAAATTATCCTTTTTAAAATCATATATAAACCCTAGTACCACGCACACCAGTGTCCGAAAAATCAAGGCAGAAAAGTGGAGTGCATCTGATATGTGTACCAGCAGTAGTCCAGTACACATAAAGAAATAATGAAACCAGTGGTGTCAATCATAAGTGGGTCTTTGTAGGTGAAAATTATAAATATAGAATTCTGTTTGGCACCAATTAGGTTACAATGTTCTATGTTATTTTATTCAATCAAAACTCTACTGTATTCATTTAAGTGACACACACATCTCTTTTTCCTCAAAATTGATAGGGAAAACGGGGGTGCCTGTCATATGTGGGTTAACATTAAAAAAAGTTTGGCTGTGCATTATATTTNAAACATATTAGTGTTGAGTTTGGAAGCCAAAAGCAGTTCTCTTATGTATTTACTCGATTCCCACCTGCACGTTTCACTCAAAATTGAGAGGAAAAAACGGGGTAGGCGTCGTAGACGGGGATAAAATAAAATAAGCTTGGACATTTAGGTGCGCATTACACTTGAATTTGATTGGGGATTTTTGAAAAGATTGAATTATATTGAAATTTGAATTCTGGCGTCGTATTTTTGTAATGTAGTTTTCCGGTCACTGAGCACGCTTTATTGGGGATAGGATTTCAACATCATTTTAGGGTGACGAATTGGGGAGCATGTGTTACTCGAGAGCGCGTGGTTCTCAAGCAAATACGATATCCAGAATTTAACGTAAAATCTTCCGAATTTTCGAGTTTTATACCAATTTTCTTCCTTCTTAAATTGGCTGCCCAAATCCACCTACTGTACTCTCGCGGTGGGGTAAAAACGGTCAGACTCAGGTTTTTATGTCATTCATTTTTACCCAGCTTAATTTGGCAAAGGTTCGTGATTTAGAATTTGAGATGACTGTTTGACACCGTATTCCGGAAAGTGCCACAATGTTCGTGTCAAATGAACTCGAATTGCACAAAAATCTTTACCACTGTTCTTCCGTCTCGCGGCATTTTCTTCAGCTCCGCCTTCAACAAATCCGCAAGTTGTTTCGCCGACACATTCCCACCAGCACGCACGTCACGCCGTTCTCCGGTTTTGTCCTTCTCGCGATGTTGATTCCGTTCGTTTGCATCAACAGACTGATGACGAACACGAGTATTGCGATTTTCAACACCTGGACCAGCGTTAACCCGGGGCTTCGTCCTTCGATCTCGTTGGTCAGCCTCGCGCTCCCAGGAAAGTGATCGGGATAGATTCGAACTCAGATCGAAATCATCTTCAGACTCCATTCGTCTACTCGCTGCTTGATCTCGAACTCTTTTCCGGTCCCTGGCTTCTCGAAGCGCAGACTTGAGGCGTTCGTATTTTTGAGTCACCGAGGATAAATCATTCTCCAAACCAGCGCGAGATTCTTCTAGATTCGCGATTTTCAGACTCAAGAGCTCTGTTTCTCTGCCGGTGGCGTGATGCTTCGATTTCAACGATTCCTCACTTCTTTTCTGTGCTTCTTCGAGCGCCTGAAAACGTTCGCTCTGATGAAAATAAGAAAGCAAAATGAGTACAGTATATCACAACAGGAACAGGTTGTACATCAATTTCAATGAGCCTTTTGAACGGTGAACAATATCTTGAAGAATGAACTAAAAAAGGGAGCACAACCTTGGACTTGGTTTACTCCGGATGATTCAGTACTGAAATATATGATCTCACAGATTATCTCATTTCATGTGACAAAAACTAAAATACGGACCAGGCACATAAGTTGTGAATTACATCTACATGTACACGAAATTCATTCTGAGCAAGAGAAAAATGGGCAAAATTCAATTGTAAGAGCTGTTGCCTCCGAACAGTCATTTAGCCTTGATTTTTCGCTGTTGAGAATTCATACTACATGGGAAGAGAACCTTTCGGTACCCAACAAAAATTCGTCATACAGAGAATATCGTTGTAGACAAGAGAGTAGTCCACCTGTACTACATCGGACATACCGTCACCGGATTTCTTTCAAGAAAAGTTGATAATTTTGAGTAAAAAGCGGTTTAAAAAAATCAAAATTTCAAATTTACGCTTACACAAATAATTCTAGAAATATGGACACTCACCTGAACAGAAAATTTTTCTTGCGATTCCTTCAAAGCATTCGTGACTTCGCACAATTTTTCCTGCAATTCTGCAGAAACCTTGTCCTTCTTCGCCAAATCTTCCTTCAGCAAGTCGTACTCCTGCCGGAATTCCTCCAGTACCCGAGATTTTGCCTTATCTGCAAGGTCTTTCTCCTTCGCATCGCACGAAGATTCCAATTCCGCAAGACGAACCTCTTGCAGTTTGATTTTGGAATCCAATGACAATTTCAACGCAGATATTTTATCTTCTAGTTGTGCCTTTTCTGAAGCAACTGCTAGGTCCACTTGCTGCTTAGCTTGAGCAACAGCTTCCTTGCG